TATTTATCTGGGTAATTAGCTGTTATGCTCTTATACTTTATGTCTAATATATTTGTTTGTAGGCCAGACTGCAGCTGCATATGGCATTTTTGCAATAATCTTCAATTGCGTTTCAGATATTCACAAAGTCTATCCACCTTTGTAATTAACACATTATGTGTTTCTTATACCATTAATTATAGTATCTGTATTATATTACACATTGTCACTGACACATTTCTGATACAGGGAAAAAATAGCATGATTGCTTTAGTAATTATAATTTTCGGTCCATGCACCACATTCCTGGAAGTCCAGAATATAGCAAGAAACCTTGGTCTATGGTCCTAGAGAGCCATTTAATGTTTTGATTGGTATAGCTATACAAAAAGAGCAAGGAGTACATTGGTAGATCACATCTGCAACTGAACCATTACATATTCTTTGTTGTATCAATGTCTCTGTGTTTATGTTTACAGGAGTTCCTTGCTTTGCAGGTATGTACATAATATGTAGAGTTTAAGAAAGGCTGCAAATCGTGCTTTAGTACAAGTGTCCCGTGATGTCAGGTTTCTGACAGGTTTTGCTGGTCTTTTTATATTCCATTCTCTTGTCAGGGCATCTGCTCTTAGTAGGCCGGTATTGTTATTATTTATTAATTGCATCAAGGTTTCTTTAGTTAATTGATGTGTTTCTACCAAATTCAAATTCATATGCCACCAAATGTCATTGTAAAGTTCATTGTTACAGAATATTGTTCCAGGATGGTTTTTCACTCCAGTAGGAAATCTATATTCCTCTTCTTCTGATCCTTCCTATTAACCACTTTTTCTGAGTTGTAGTTAACAATCTGTGTCATGTACTGTGAGGTGCTTTGATAGTCAATCAGGTTTTGTCAGTACCATGTTCCATCTTGAAAAACAGCTGGGAGTTGACAGTTATCAGCCTTTAATTCTTTTTCCGGTCATCTTCTGTCTGGATAATAGCAATGTCCAGAATTAGCATAGCACTTCTTTTCAGCATAAGAAGGCTGTTTGCGGTAGTCATTCAATGATAAACTATATGGCAAAGTCTTTTCTTGCATCACCTTCATAGGTGCATCCAAAGCATCTTTCCCGTCTTTTTCTGTTTTCAGCATGCTTTGCCATCATTGTTGATTCCATTATTAGGATTTGTAATTGTCCAATCACATCTTTCTCATGTATAATCGGTTTTTGGAATAATCTCAATAGGTTCCTTGTGAAATACCAGTGTAGGCAATCATTTCACTGTGCGCTATGTCTCTCCTTTTGAGATAGTTCTTGGAGGTAGTCCTCACGATCAAAGAACTTGTATAGTGTGTTATATAGTCCTGCTTGTTAACATAATCCTAATGCAGTTTTAAAACGACAGCTAGGGTTGATGTTATGATAATGCTGTAGACTGTAAGAAGGAGACACCATAACCAATTTTCTAGCATCCTTTTGCTTCCATCTTTGAATTTCTTTCTTACTGTATTAGATAATTCAGGTTCAGTCTGTTTTCTCCAGAGTCTTTCTTATAATGATGTTGATGATTCATTTTTCATACATTCCATGTTAACTGTGAATGTATCACGTCTGTCTGTTCATCCTTCTCCTTCACATTTGCAGGTTCAGATGTCAGATCACGATTCAGTCTGTCTATGATTCTGGTGGCTTTTCTGTCGTCCTCTGTTTGTTTTATCTTGCCATCTTTAACAGCATCCATTGTGTCAGTCAGTGGTTCTGTGAATGTCCTGTTAATATGTAGCAGGTTGTAAAATATCAAAACTTACTGTTCTCTGTTGGGTCTGATTGTTCTCTGTAGTAAAAGTTCTTGGTATCACCCTCTCCAGGACAAACTGGCCAACGGGAGGAAATAGGTGGTGGTGCAAGGCGAAGTGGACTGGAAAAAAAAAAAATTCCCTAAATTTCTCTAATAGAACCAATGGTTCTAAGCTCTCCCTGGTGCAGAAATATATTTGTCAGTGAAAAACATGTAACATTTCATATGGTGTCTCACCATTTGTATCATCAGGTATGTTGTGAATGCTTATCTGTACCATAGGAATAAATAGATACCACTGTGTGGGGTAAGCAACTAGTAACTTGGTTAATAATCATTTAACCTCAGCATTCTCCCAGACCACAACCCCACTTCTTTGGGGGTGGTTGGGGCACTGAAATCCCAAAGTAACCCAAATTTGGTTGCCCAGTTTTAGGTTTCCTTTGCAGTAACTGCAGGACCACCATCCAAATGGATGGTCCTGGGATTATCAAATGCATACTAAGGAAGTGAGACTAGAAAACATGGCATCAGAGGTTGCACTTCGCACAGGATATATCCAAGTAAACCTGGTACATGCATCAACACATACAAAAACATATTTATAACCATGAGATGTTGGCAAACTTTCAATATATAGTAATTCAAAAGTATGTTGGATATTAATATTTCAATAAACAGTACATCAGTAATGTGGCAATAAGCAAATGCTTATGATTACTAAACACATGAATTACAGTATTTCCCATATTGTGACCAACAATATTCCTTTTCAGGAGTCAGAAGTACATTACCTCTCTCTATAAGAGCTTGTCCTAGCCATGAAAAAGCTTTTAGGGCAAGTCCATCTTTCCTCTATAGGAAGAACAACCAACGTATTACCTTCAATGGTTATTATGTAATTAACCCTTCTAAACGATAGGAGTATTTATGCGGATACCAGGTGGATAAGGTCTGGATATCCTTGCAAGCATAAACTCTGCATCATGACTGAGAGATAGGGTATGCAATGTGATCCAGTGACCACAGAAAAGCGTTGGTAGACACACTGCATCAAAGTGCCTGTTAACGACATGAGGAGAGGGACCATGCTTTGTTATAAGCATGTCCATACACGTATTACAATGCCAGGCTTTCAATTTGTTATCACAAAGCAAAACGCAGTTGTGGATATAAACTCACGACGTATCGTAAGAAAAACAGTTTGAACACCAGACTGAGACTCGAGATCAGTGAACAGTGGACCAAAATAGATAAATTAAATCTTATCAATCAATATACTTTCAATATACTTTCTTTAAATTACTTTATCCTCTGTATTAACTATGAAATATTAAAGTTAAAACAATAACATTTAAAAGCCAACTTTTAGTGTGGATAGGAATTACAAGGCTGTTCATAATGTGAGATAAAGAACAGCTTTTTTTAAAATCCGAATAGTCTGAACACAAGATGACCTTGCGCTGAAAACTCACTTGCAGGGGAAAAACAAAACCTTCTTTTTTTCTTTTTTCTTTAGTAAGTTAATTAATTAATTAAATGTAGTTAGAACCTCCCTCAAAGACCCGATGACTTTGCAAGAAACATGTCGTCCTTAAATACTGGGTAAGTCTATTAAACAGTGACATAGCATTGCTACCCTGTGTATTATGTTGTCACAGCTATAATGTGCAGTATTACAAACTATTTATAAGTGTTGTGCAAACTATTCATTAAAAGCTAGTGGTCTAGTGAGCTATAGAACATTTATTTATTTATTTATTCTTTAAACCTCTGACCTCAATCGGCAAAGCAATATTGTAATGGTGTCCATTGCAATCTGCTGTCTATACTTGCTGCTCTCAAAAATTCTGAATGTGTTCAGAGATTTCTTGGGCAATAATAAATCCCCCAAAACAACAACTTTGCATTTATGCTAAACCTGCCTGTTGTAAACGTATTCTGTATATTTCTTGACATAAGTACTTGTACTTAAATCTGTTTAACAAAGCTGTTTATATTGTGGTGTAAAATATATTTTTTATTATTATTATTTATTTTATTTTTTTATTTTTTAACTTTGCTTAATTTTTAAAGATACCTGCATATTTAATAAAATTATGTCTAAATATTTAATTATGTCTTTAAGGCATAAAATATCTGCAAATTAAGATTATAAACAAAAATGCATGTCCTGGGTGTTCCCTTTTCTATCATTTATTTATTTTAAGTCTGGAATCTGATTTCTTTTGGGATGAGCACCCCTCTGAGCCCCCCAGTTTCAGAGGCTTCTTTAGAAGTGACCACTGA